TTGTATGTGGGACGCTGCCACAGCATGGTTTGATGAGTGGTGTGTAGGTCCGTGCCCGGGATCCAAACCCACAAACCCCCAGCTGCTGAAGCAGAGTGCACGAACTTAACCACTATGCCACCAGGCTTTCCCCCTACTCTCCATTTTACAGATGAGAAAATCGAAGCTCAAAGAGATGAAGTACCAGCCAAACCCAGCTCTCAGAGTAGGGACTGGGCCTGTCTCATTTTCCTTAGAACCGTGCCTGGCATACAGTAGGTGCTCAGTAGTTACTTGTGGCTGAATGAATGAATGGCGAATAAATGACCATGACTATCACTCTGAGGTTCTGTGCAGCCAGAAGCCTCTGCACCTAAGATTCGATTTCAGCCTGCCTCTGCCCACCCTAGTCCCAGATGACGCCCGGCTGCATCAAGCTCCCAGCCTCTCTCAGAAGTGGCTGCCGGGACAGGCAGACTAATGATCTGGGGACCAGCATCCAGGCCCCTGTCCCCAGGGAGACCCCCTCACCCACTGGACCAGGGGCATGAGGCAGGAGCTGCCTTGGCATTCGCTTCAGGGGATCCCTGCCCAGAGGCATGGTGGCAGGTGTGGGCCCAGAAAGCAGCTGCTGGCTCCCCCGTCCTGTGCTCTGCCAGCTGTCCGCCGGGGGCCTGCCCACCAGATGCATAATAGACGAGGCGGCCCAGCGGGCTGCGCCTGCCTGGCATTTCAGAGCCACTAATGAGGCCAGCCTCGTGCTTCCTGCAGCAGCACACAGCCCCCAGGGCCTCTGGCTCAGTGATTTCAGAGACGAGCCACCGGAGGATAGGGGCCGCCCACCCAAGCCCCGCCTCGGCACAGGCAGCATCCAGGAGAACGAGGGCTAAAGGTAGGGGCTCAGGCTGACCACGCTGCCAGTCTCGGTTCACCACACACTGACTGCGTGCCCCTGGGCCAGCCACGTCCCCACCCTGAGCCTCAGTTTCCTCACCTGTAAAATGGGGGACGGATGGTAATAGTCTCTACTTTGTAAAGCTGGTGTAAGGATGGAATGAAATGATTCAGGTGAAATGCTCAGCCCAGGGCCCAGGCCCCAGGAAATGTTTCCTATATGGGAGCAACTGGGACCATTACTGTCAAGGGGAGATCTCTCAGTGACCCATCTCTCAGATGGGCCCTCCGGGTGGGACACCTGGGGCTGGGCGGTGCCCCGTCTTGGAGATATGCGGGGTCATCTCATTCTCCCCCTCCTCCCTCACCCCATAACCAGGATTTCCCTCATTCCTGTGGCTTCCTCCTCTCTGGCCAAGGTCCCTTCATTGGCAGGAGAAAAAGCTGGATTCAAATCCAGCCCTCGCCAGCTCTGTGACTTTGGCCAGAGCCTTCACCCTTCTCGTGTTGTTTTGGCCTCTAAAATGGGGACATTAGGCCAACTTGCAGGACTGTCATCACGACTTATTGAGACCACATAGTAAAACGGTCAGCACACGGCTGGCACTTCATCTTTGCTGGGTCCTGCCTCCTCCTCCCAGGCTCGCAGCTTTGAGGTCAAAGTTGACTCTCCTCTTCCCAGGGTATTTCCAGAACCCTCCTTTCCCTGCACAACTCCACCTAGCCATTCCCCCACCTGGCCCACTCCACCTCCTTCCTCCCCACACCATTTGAATCCCCCTTAAATGTCCAGCCCCCATTAGGGCTGCAGAACCAGAGTCACTCACTGTCCCAGTGGCTCCTCATCCTCCCTTGGGCCTCATTCCTCTGACACGTGCACACTTGTTCTGAGCTCCTCCACCACCAATAACCTGCCGATGAGGGGCAGCGGGGAGGGGAATCCAGCCATGATCACATCTGGCCTCCACCAAGCCTCACTGCTCCCCTGATCCAAGCCCCAACCTTTTACTCCTTTTTCAAAAGGGCTGGGGAAAGCCATACCTCCTCCAGGAAGCCCTCCTAGCTTACTTGACAAAGTTTCACCTCTTCCACTCTCTGGACACATTCAGTTCAATTCCATGAACGTCCATTAGGTATTTACTGGATTCGGGTAGCTGTCCAAGACCATGTGGAAGACACAGATGAGAAGAGCACAGCCCGGCTCTTATGAGACTCATCCTGGAAAGTGAGCCTAAGTCAAAAGTAACTCAAGCAACCCCTGTTTTCAAGGACCTCAGGGCCTGCCTCACACTGCAGTGTTATGTGGACACGGTCAACTCACTGAAAGATCTAGGTCACCAAATACTTATTGAGCATCAAGTGGGGCTCAGAGAGGGGAGTGACCTGCCCAAGTGTGGCAGAGGCAGATAACCCATGTGTGTCAGACTCTGAAGGCTGTGCTCTTGGCACTACCCCAGGAATGGGCGGGGAGGCGTTCTAAGGAGAGAAAGATGGGGGGTCGGGAACCAGGAAAGAAAATACTCAACACACAGTGACAAAGGTGGGCTGGGGGTGTGGGGAGGGCCTGTGGAAATGGGAGGGGAGGGCGTGTCAAGGGGAGGGGACAACGTGAGCAAAAGCATGGAGGTGGTGCTCACAGGGGCCACATTCCCATTGATCAGAAATGCAGGGCAGGGGGGCCGGCCCCGTGGCTTAGCAGTTAAGTGCATGCGCTCTGCTACTGGCGGCCCGGGTTCAGATCCCAGGCACGCACCGACGCACCGCTTGTCCGGCCATGCTGAGGCAGCGTCCCACATACAGCAACTAGGAGGATGTGCAACTATGACATACAACTATCTACTGGGGCTTTGGGGAGAAAAAGGGAAAAAAAAACAGGAGGAGGATTGGCAATAGATGTTAGCTCAGGGCCGGTCTTCCTCAGCAAAAAGAGGAGGATTGGCACAGATGTTAGCTCAGGGCTGATCTTCCTCACCAAAAAAAAAAAGAAAGAAAATGCAGGGCATGGGCGAAGTGAGTCCCAGGCTGGAAAGGGAGGTGGGGACAGGCCTTGAATGCCAGTAAATCATGACTAATAGTCAAAATGACCCCCATTTACAGAGCTCTAACTATATGCCAGGCACAGGTTAGGGCTAGGCAATTGGCTTCTGGGGTAGGAAGGGAGGGCCTAGGGGTTAGCACCTTGGACAGCAGCTCCAGCCAGGAGGGTGAGGGGCAAGGCATTGTGGGTAATGGGCATGTCCTGGAGATTCCACACTCTTATTTTATAGGTGTATCAACTGAGGCCCAGAGAAGGGAAGGGACTGGACCAAAGTCACATAGCCAGTTAGCTACTATCAGCCCAGACCCCTCTGACTCTTGTTTCAGGGCTCCCTAGAGTGGGTTTTCTGGGTCACCCCTCCATCTTCAAGTCTTCCCTGCAGTGCATCCCTCACTCAGACCTGCCCTGTGGCCTGGAGGACCCGGGACAGAGTGGGTGAGACTCTGGGCTCTGTACAGAGTCTGGAAGATCAAGATTCAAATCCCAACTCTGCGGCTGACTAGTTGTGTGACCTTGGGCAAGTCACTTTCCCTCTCTGTGCATCACTGCTCTCATCTGTAATTAGAGATAATAGTCCTAGGCCAGGGATGTGGCAAAGATTATGTGGGATGATGCAGTTCAAGCACCCAACAGTACTTGGGGCACAGCAGATGCCTGGCAAGTGGCAGCTGTTGGGATATTGTCACTGAACTCTTTGAAGGAAAGGACGGTGTCTTCCTCACCTCCATCTCTATCTCCCCTCACCCTATTCCTGCTCTGGGCTTAGCATACACTCTTGCACATAGTAGAGGCTCAAACTGACTGGGCACAGCGGCGGGAGATAAAGCCCAGAGAGGGAGAGTAACTGGCCCCAGGGTGCAGAGAGAACATCAAAGGATAATAAAAGGGCAGGCTCTGGAGCCCAGCCTGGGCACCCCCTGTGCCTCCCGCCCCAGGTGTGGCTTCCTAGGGGGGCTCTGGCAGCAGGTAGGGCAATGGTGCCAGACAGGATTCATCCAGCAGCTGGCGGGGGAGCGCCGCAGGGCCTGGGGACTCAGGAAGCCCTCAGCAGGGCAGGAAGCAGAAGCCAGAGCCGCTGGAGGCTCTCCTGCTGGAGGTGAAGTGGCAGCAGGAGCAGCCAGCTGGGCCCAGGTGACGCCGGTGCCAGAGAAGCGGGAGGTGCCCACCTGCTGGGGCGTCGGGGGTGCTGTGAGGCCCGAGGCGAGGCTGCACCTCCACCCGCCGCACTCGGTGTTGGGGAAGCTGCAGACGCCGCTGCCTCCCTCCTCCTCCTCCAGGGAGAGGGCAGCCTCAGACAGGGAACGGGCTGGAGGAGGGGTTCTGAAGGCTATGTGTGGAGTGGGACTAGGGGGCTGGGGGGTCAGCGAAAAGGCTAAGGGCACCCCCCCACCCAGCCAGAAGCCACCCGGAGGTGGGAAGGAATAGATCAGAGAAAAAGGAAGAAAACACTTTCAGGGAGGGCATACAATATGCCAGGGCCTGTTTTGTTTGTTTGTTTATAACTTCACACTCTGTTAAATAGGCATTTTAATCCCCATTTCACAGATGAGAACACTGAGGTTCAGAGAGGTTAGTGAATTGCTGAAGGTCACACAGCCAGTGGCAGAGGTGAGATTTAACCAGATTTGCCTGACTCCAAGGGGAGCTCTAGAAAGAACTGTGGGGGAGGGGCTGGCCCGGTGGTGCAGTGGTTAAGTTTACGTGTTCCACTTCAGCGACCCGGGGTTCACCAGTTCGGGTCCTGGGCGCGGACATACTCATCGCTTATCAAGCCATGCTGAGGCAGCGGCCCACAGAGAAGAGCTGCAACGCTACCACTATGATACACAACTATGTACTGGGGCTTTGGGGAGAAAAAAGAAACAAGAGAGGAGGATTGGCAACAGATGTTAGCGCAGGGCTAATCTTTCCAAAAAAAAAAGAACTGTAGGGGAGAATACATCGGGGCAGACCCTCACTCCCTCACCTGGAGAGGACGGTTGGCAGGCTGGCGGGTCTGGTCTGGCATTACAGGGGGTGGTAATGGTTTGAGAGTGTCCTCAAGGTTCAGCCAAGCAGCCCAGCCCCTCCTGAGAGCCCCGGTACTCACCACACACTCCGGCGAGGGGTGAAGGACTTGTCTACCCTGAAACACAGCAAGAGGGGCGGCAGGTAAGAGGGCAGCCCCTTCTGACCCAGCCTGGCCCAGCCTATCAGGCCAACCCTGTCACCACCCGCCGCTCTGCTGGAGGGGCCTGGAGAAGTAGTGTTCCCAAGGGGCCTGATGCACTGTCACCGTCCCCCGTGGGCTGCAGGGGCCCTAACGTCAGATTAGGGACATGGGAAGGCGTGGGGTGAAGGAGTAAGACAAAGAAGGAGGACTGGGACAGGGGGATAGGAAAGTAGAGGGGCCAGGACCAGGCTATGGGGTGGCAGCAGGGGTGGGGGTCAGCGTGGGAGGTCTTGGAACAGGTGGAGAAGGACAGTGACTACAGCAGTCTGGGGTCAGAACAAGGAGGTAGGGGTGTTTCTGGGGCCAGCTTAGAGTGTTTCCAGACAGGATTGAGGGGTGTGCTGCGTGTTTACGGGTTGTGGTGGGCAGGAAAAACAGCTCCCCCGCCTCGCTTCTCTAGCGGCCTGCCTCCATCCCAGAGCCCACTCGTATCCACCCAGGGGACCAATGCCTGGGAATCTCGGGGCAGGAGATCCACGAGGAGCCTCCTCCCCTCCCCTACTCCCAACACACATACCCCGCTCCCAGAGCAGAGCCAGAGGAAGACCGCAAGCCCCCGGAGTTCAGGGGCTACCTCCAGGCTTTGTCTCCCCACAAATCCCTCCAGGTCCTGCCTCAGGGAGACTGTGTGGGCAGTGCCCGCTCCCAGATTCTCCCCCAGTGCCCTCTGAGGGCACCTTGGGGTTGCGGAGGGCTGGAGAGGGCTCCACCCTCCTGCCCAGCTGGGGGCCGAGGGGCTGAATGGCTATTGGGACAACAAACAACCCTTGCCTGCCCCCTAGAGGCCAGAGGAGGATGGGGAAGGTGCCCCAAACCGGACTTCGCCAGCTAGGGCGTGTCTGCTGGGAGGCAGAGCTGAGGTCTCCCAGGGATCAGCTAGTGTAGATTCCGCAGATGAGGAAGGTGAGGCCAGAGAGACCAGGACTTGCCCAAGGTCACACAACAGAACACAGCCCCGCTTCCTGGGCTGCCTCTCCGGGTCAGCTGACCAGGAATCTCAGGGCTCAACCCAGGCTCCTCTTATCGCCTGATGACTAGCAGGGCCCCAGATAGGGAGGGCAGCCCTCTGGTCTCCCAGCCCACCCAGCCCCTCTGCCGGGGTCCTCTTGGAGGTTGGGCGTCCAGACAGAGGAGGCGCCTTGGACACAATCCCCACGCCTATTCTACACCAGCAGTGTTACATACGCGAGCCCCAATTACTCCGCACCCCAAAGATGGGTGCTGTGTCCCTCTGACCATAGCGAGGCAGGGCCCGGTGGAGGTTATGCAACTACTTGGCCAGTCAGGGAAGGGGCTCCAGCCCCAGTCTGTCTACCCAGTCTTCCTTCCAATTTGCCAAATATCTGCCTAAGGCAAGAATCCCCCCAGCTCCCCTTTGACATGGGTATTTGGGGTCAGGAAGGACAGTTACCCCAAGATGGGCCAGTCACCCCTCTGACCTCCCCGCACACGTCTCCAGGCCCAGGCTGCCAGCAGTCCTGGGAGGAGCCGGTTCCTGAGAGCCAAGCGGCATGACACAGGGCCAGCCCAGGTGCCCGGGCAGGGGGTGGCAGGGACCTGCTAATGGCTTCTAGGTTCCCTTCTTCTGAAGACTCACTGCAGGGGCCCAGCAGCTTCAGAGGCCAAGTGGGGGCCCCTGCAGGGCCTCCCCCTGACCTGCCTCCCCCCACCCCACTACCATGCACCCAAGAGCGCACACACACAGGCCCAGCCTGCCTGTCCACACACCAGTCATCTACATACACTGTCAGGCACTTAGGCACAAACACAGAAATGCCCACCCGCGCATTCACATCCTGACACGTGCACACGGACACGCAACCGGAACACACAGGAATACAAATACACACACAGACACAGACTTACCAACACTGCTGCTACGCACTGACATCAAACCGCTCACCTCACACACAGCACAAATTCACAACCACTGAACCACCCAAACCGCCTCGCGGGAGCCAGGCGGGCGCGCGCACACGGGCCCCCGCGCGCGCACCTACCCGCCG